TGACAATCTAAAATTCAAAATGCTTCCATGAGCAGGTTTTAAATTGAGATAAACGATCAGACACATGACAAAGACAACAATTTTGGTAATTGCCGGATGATGCAAACATCTGTGTATTTGGGGCTATACAGGAATTTTTATTTGGTTGATAGAAAACTAGAATTGAAACCAATTGCTGAATTTCAACCAATTTAAATAAATTACTTGACCTAGAAGCTATTTAACCCTAAATTTCTCAATGCAGCTGCCAGAAATCTACTTTCCAAGTGGAACAGCTGGTTTTGAACAATACTTCAATACAGGAATTTGCAGTTATTCTGAAGTGTTTTTCTCTTGCTAAAATTATAAATATAATTGAGAAGGTAATTTTCAGATTTTTCTGAAAGATTATATTATCTTTGAAGTAAAAAACAAAATATCATTGTGATTTTTTTTAGCATTATCTTTAGAAACTACTTGCTAGTTTTTATTTATCTAAGACAACACATGGCAGAGTATAACCTTGCCTTCACTTTAGAGCTAACTTAATAACCCTGCAGTGCCTGCGGCATTTCAGTATGTATCTTCCCATGTGATGATTTCTGTTCTTGGTCTTTCCCCTCTCTTTCTCTCTCTCCCAGTTGATCCACTCCTGTGACTTCCCCACCATGGGACGTTAACTCCCGAATCTCCACCTCTATTTCTGACCACCACCCATCACTCTGGTCCTGCCTTCTTTGATTGTTGAAGATGTCCACTTTGTTGTTCTACCAGCACTTCAAACTCAGCTTGTCCTAAATCAAATCTACCTTCTTAATATTTCCATTTTTATTAGTTAATGTCACCATTATTCTCTGAATTACCGAGGTCAAAACATTTGGATCATCTTTAATCTTCACTCTCCCCGACAGCTAAAGACAGAGCAGTGTTGCACGCGTGCGCTCCAGGGCGAGACTGTGAACTTGCACCCTGACCCCCCTACGTCGTGGCAGTGTGACCTTCTGCAAGTCACTGGCTTCTCTAGGCTTCAGTGTGGCCTTCATGACATAGTTATGAAGTACGCATAAGAACACAACTGTTCAGTTAACATGAGAAAAAGGATGTAAGGGTACAAAGAATTTAGCATGAGGCAAGCTGGGATGGTGATGACAGTGAACAAGAATCTCAATGACCTGCTCACATTCTTCCCATTCCTTACATACCTCTCATCACATCTTGCATAGACCTTGTCTATGTCATTGCAAATAAATTTAAACTCAGAAGGCCAGTCTTGGTTGCAAATGTATAAGTGCCTCAAATTTTCATTAATCTCAACCAAGCCATTCCCAACCAAGATCGAGAACATATAACATAGCTACTTATGTATCAATGTGCTTTTTGCTCATTGTATGCTACGTAACAATGTAATGAGAATTCAGGAACTGGCCCTATCTGAACTCAATTTCAAACAGCACTTCATAAGCCATACGGTCAGAAATTAAAATCAATCTCGATTCTTGATAATGCAGAGTAGGTTATCAGTAACAAACGATAAATAAACTCGTCATTACCCTAGACAGCTGCCTTGTAGTCCCCATTTCCCCAGAAAATGAAAACTAAATTTAATTTTAGCCTAAGAAAGATGTAAAGATTAGAACAATTACTGAAAAAAAAATCAGAATAATATAAAGTATTATAAAGTCAATATAAGCTATTTAATATCTTTTGCTTTGCATTATCAGTGACTTTGCACCCCTGCAAGAAAGTAGAGTTGATTAAATATTTTATGAGTGTCCATTTAAATATTTACCAAATTTGATTAAACGTCTAGGGGACCACTACTAGTAGAACCAGATATCCTGCGAAAAGCATACTTATGTATTATTGATTAGGTGTTTGCAGTTGGTAATTTTTAAAAAGATAGAAGACAAATTACCGCTAGAGACTGAAGCTCTCTTGTTTCCTCCTCTGCTGCCGAAGCATGGTACGACAGAACCTACAGGGCGAGAAGAGAAGGGGTCCAGGTTACACAGGCGAGAACGACCGATTCTCCAGAATTGCAAGCTTGGAATTCCACTACGCCTTCTTCGAGAGAGAACTAGACTCCTCAGGATGTCAAATCTTACTTGCTGTTTTCTTCAACAGAGAGAAAATCCCAGATTTAGATTCCATTGCTTGTTTTAGAAAACAGAGAGGTATACTCCCTATGTTCAAAGAACACTGTCACCCTGACATTGTTGCTCTAACACATTATAAGGCCACCTAGAAATAACTATTGGCTCAAATTTAGGAGAAAATTTATTTTGAATTGTTTTTTAAAAAAAATATTGACTTTAGTTATTTTTGCTTGTGTACTGAATTAGGGGGGAAAAAACCTTTGCCTAAACTGACATTTTAATGTTGATATTTGGGAAAAAAATAGTCTAGAAGTGGCTCTCAGGTGGGGCTTATGACCACTACAGACATTCATACAGAAAAACTGCATGGCTGAGATATGACGTCACACAGATTTACGGATCCCGTTACACTCATACAGCTCAAGAGCTAAGAAGAGGGTAGTGTGGCTTATAAAGCTGCCCATTAGCAGCTGAGAACACTGGGACTCAGAGCTTCTCATGCCTTGGCTGGAAGCTCACACGCAGCGAGAGGGCAGGCGGCCTAGGATCCAGCTCTCACCTGCTAAGCTAGTGCCCCTCCCATTACCTTGTAGAGTGAGAAAGTCGGGCTTACTCTCTTCTTACTCACTTAGCATGAGAATCATAATCTCCACTTTCAAAAGCAACAACTTCTGAGTACAGGTTGAACATCCCAAATCTGACAATCTAAAATTCAAAATGCTTCCATGAGCACCCCCTTTGAGCATCATGTTGGTGCTCAAACAGTTTCATATTCTAGAGCATTCTGGGTTTTGGATTTTCAGATTTGGGATGCTCAACTGGTAAGTCAGTATAATGCAAACATTCCAAAATCCAAAAAAAATCTGAAATCCAAAACACTTCTGGTCTCAAGCATTTCAGATAAGGAATATTCATTCTCAACTGGGATAGTATTTTAGACACTTTTTTAAAACAAGGTAGTAGTTGCATTTAAAATGCCTATCAGTAAAGTTCATTTTTGACAGAGATAACACTGATTCACAAAAAAACCCCAAAAGTTGAAAAATCATTGATAAAAAGGTAACTCATTTTCAGACTTTAAATGGTGAGTAAATTAATTCAAGAGCCCAAACTACTTTTCCTTGAACCAGTCTTTAAATTTTAAGCAATTTAAAAATCTAAAACCAAATGGCATATATGCCTACTGTCTTGTGATTCAGAACATTTATAATACTGCGCCACATGGAATCTGTCTTAGCATTTGAAACATTAATCACTAGGAAACCTCAGGAACCTCAGAGGTGCCGTCTCCTCCCCATATGAAACCGACAGGTCATGGCTGCTAACCTGTGGCTGCTGAGACCACAGAAGTAGTTTTGCTGAGAAAAGATTATGACCATGAATTAGTCTAATATTAGTAAGTGCAATGCAACATGAATAAACAAATGAAGGAGTCATATAATACATTCTAAGTTCAAAAAATTATTTTTATTATATACCAAAGATAAAAATAGCACCTCACCCATAGGGTAAAAGGATTAACTTTGTTAACACATGCACGCATCAGAATACAGAGGAAGCATCTGATAAAGGCTAGCTATTTTTATTGTCATTGTTGCTTTATTGTTAGTATAATGATCATGACTTCCAGGTCGAAATAATTCACTACCCTAAGAAGACCTGAGGGCTTTGAGTCCTTGGCTTCTGTCCAATGGCCTCGTAAAGGAAGGAAAATTTTTGTTGAGGTTGGACCTGTGATCACTGAGTTAATTACTCATATATTTAGCTAAAGGAGAGCTATAATAGAGAGACAGAAATAAATCTCAATCAGGAAAACATTCAGAGATTTTGAACAAAGTGATAGATCCGCGACTGCTTCAAAATAATCCAACGGGAGGTGAAGAAGAGTGCGGAGGAGTGAGCGTGGGAATGGATGGAGGTACACTGACCATGGTCGATAATTACTGAAGATGACTGATGAGTACGTGGGGGTCTCACTGAGCTATTTTCTCTACTTTTGTATGTTTGAAACTTTCCATTATAAAAAGTTAAAAAAAAAATTTCTAATTGATAGCTTCAACTCTTCAGTGCAAAACCACAGAACTAGGAAAAAAAAAGATTAAAAATTATATATAATGTATACACATACATGTATGTCTGTATATATATTTTGAAACTATATGTAAACATGTATGTGTATGTTTATATACATAATTGAAACCATATTTGAAATATATATCTGTGCATATATGTATGTGTATATATACACATTTGAAACAGATTTCTACTGGTTTATTATTCAGGGTCTTTTATATAATACTGTAGCAAACCTATTGGTATCATATATTCAGCTAGAAAGTAAGTGTGCCATCTTGGTTACTGATAAAACTTAGATGTATAATGTATTTCTTTCTAGCTCTTTAGGTTAGATATTTATTTATGAGGGATTAGAGGAAATGTTATTATATCCCAAACACTAATTTTCACTGATCTCATCTAGATAAGGGTTGGCAAACATTCAAATATATTTCATAGTGGTGTATGAATTAGTATAGTAGAGACATCTGCACCTTCGGAAGTCTATTTCTCTAAATGGTCTACGATGTCAGAAACTGTGTTATCCGAAGTGAACATTGTCAAGGCAGCTGGTGAAATACAGGGAAAGGGCTGACTCTGCTGAGCAGGCTCATCCTGCGTGGGAAGGAGCCTGCCCGATGCCGGCCCTCTCAGCCGGTGCGTCCACTGCTCCCTGCGCATCCACCATCACCTGGGGGCGCTGCAGTGATGCAGATTCCCAGCACCTCCCCCCCAAAACTTACTCAATCAGAACTTTCAGCGGTGGAGTCTATAAATCTGTAGTTTGAAAGTTTCTGAGATGATTCTGGAGTAGCTAGTCCAGAAATTTCAACTATTCCTGCTTCTCACTGATTTTCTTTTTCTTTTCTTTTCCTCACTTCTAATTCTCTTAAGAGTGCCTAGGCTTTCTGTTTTTTGTTTTTTTTTTAATTTATTTGCACAGTGTTCTCATGGAGCGACAGGAAGGCTCAGGCCATGGGGAGGGCGGACAGGTTGCAGTAGCAGTGGTCACCTCTGTGAATGGATTATTACAGTCAAAGATGCTTTCTGCAGAAAAAGGGGACTGAAGGGACAAATGGCTTGAGTTTGGGTTTGGTCATGACCCTTGGCAAATTTCTAAAATATTCTGGGTCTTAGTTTCCTTCACTCTTAAAATGAGGACAATAAGGATCTCATCATCTAAAGCACACGATTTTTGTGAGGCCACAACGATAGAACACCCAGACACATCACGAGTTGTTACGAGGGAAAGGCAGGAGCTCAGAGTCTGGCTGTAGAGACTGAGAGGTCCTGAAACTTCAGCCCACCTCTAACGTGACCATCTGCTTGGCCATGGCTCTCTCTACGGCTTCGTACATCTGTGTGTTCTGGATCCCCAAGCCACAAAAGATGACAAAAGCTTCCAGAAACTGCTCATCATTTCGGTTGAAAGGCTTAACCTTGCCAGTATTCTCCTCCATCTTATTAACAAGTTGGCAAACCCCTATAATGATCCAAGAAATTGACAAATGTTATTGTTAAGAATCATGGCTTTTACTGACTTTAACACACACACACCCAAAGATTGTCATATCCTTCTTTCTTAGGAATGCCTGGCATCTCCAAATAAGCAAATGAACCCCCACAAACATAAGATAGAGCGGTAAACAGAATTTACATGGAAACTAGGTTCACATGGTCCTAAATGTATATTGTTGCCTGTGTTCAAAAAAATCCTAGAGTACTATTTTCTTCCAGACTCGGTCATGAATTTTAAATCAGTTGAGTCCCCAAAGACAATTTGTCCTTTGGAAACTAATTGGATTTTTGTACACTTGCCAAGAGAACAATTTTGATGCACATCAGAATTTTGGGTCACACAGATTGCCTTTCCTTACTGAGAAATCAGAAGTTAAAAAACATAGTTAGACACAAAATAGAATGCAGAAAGCAGGCAATTCCCATAGGCAGTCTCAAGTTTCAGACCCACACCTCTGTATCCAGGAGAATCATATTTGCAGCCAACTTTTGATACTGCGAATAATTATGAAAATAAAATGACTATTCACTTAGAAATAAAAGCAGATCTAATATGTGAAGAAAACCATAACCTCCCAAGTCCTGGGTTCTATCAGAAAGTCAAATATGTCAATAAAAATGGAAGATGACATCAGCATAATGTTAGATGTTTTTTGAACTGGTTGTTCTATGGGATTCTGAGCCTCGTGGTCTCTCTGTGAGGAGTCTGATGATCCAGCTTACCTCTGGGTAAAACAAAGTGTTGTAAAATCTGTCTGTGAATATATAGAAACAGACTTCCACCACGTGCCCGCTGTGGGACAGGCGTTGTGCTAAATACTTTGGCAGACACGTGATCTCTAGTCCTCACAATTTCTACCATGAGGCAGGTGTGATCAGCCCCATTTGACAGATGAGGAAACTAAATCTCATAAAGTTCACATCATTTGCTCAAAGCTACTTACTTAGCTGGTTTGTGTGGATCTAAAATTCAACCCCAGCTCAGTCTGGCCCCAAAGGTCACTCTCTTTTCACCGCACTTTGCTGCCTTTTACCTGTCGTTGCTAGCAGTTCCCCGGTGGCCCCGTGCTTGCTCACATCCCTGGCTGCTCCCCACCGCCCTCCTCCCTGTCTTCCCAGGGGAGCCCCACATCCTTCACCACGAGCTCCTGGGGGCCTCCCGCTTCCCGGTGAGGCAGGCGCCGCCCTTCTCTATGCCCTTAACACTGTCACTTGGTGTCTCAATGGTAGATTTTATTTCCATCTGTCTTTCTAGGCTGTAAATATCTTAGGCTTAGAGATTTATTTTCTTTTCAGTTCCATTTCCTCAGCTAGCAAAATGCCTAGCATAGAGCAGGAACCCAAAATGTTTTCTGAGTTAACGAAAGAATGCATGACTGCCGCTCTGACCCAGCCTACTTTCCCACGAAGACTATAGCATGTTGTCCCTTATTTTTTCCTGGAGCGCAACAGGATTTCATAGAGTCTGTGATGACACATGGCTGCATGATGGCTTAAGCCCCTTTATCACTACTGGCGTTCACTTTCTTTATTTTTAACACCATAAATTATCTGTACTCTCCTTTGTGCCCTTTTTGTTTGTTTGTCTACACAGTAAAGACATCTAGATGCCTCTCTATCTGCATTAGGGCTGCAGGGATTACTTATTCCATAATCAAGGAAAATTTTAAGCAAGACATAATTTGGATGCTGCAAGTAAAAGCCATGCACTAAATGGGCAATCAGGCTCATTATCTTAAAAGCACATGTCCCATGTATGGTAACCAAAACACAGGGGCTACATCCTGCGGCCTTTGTGAATCTCCAAATTGCAAATATGGAACTGTTTATACGAGGCTTTGGCTGTCTCCCAAATCACATTTTCCTGTGAGTCACGTGCCCTTATCCTCGGATCACAATGGAATTGCCTTTCAGCTTTACTAAAGTTTTCTCCTACTCAATGGCCATTTTTTAAAAACAACATATTTTTTATTACTTCATAAGAATTACTACATATATAACAAGAAAAGTATATCAGAGACGGGCTGAGATGCGTGTGTCAGGCAGCGCGCTGGGATTATAACCTAGTGAAGTCAGTCTCCTGTACAGCAGTTCACATCTGTGACTCAGTCAAAATTCACTGAATGAATACATTAAGAGGGATTAAATTATACCTCTGGAATTACTCACAAGTTCTTCAAATGGAATGTTAAATGTACAAATACAAGGATCTGCCGGAACAACCACAGCCCAGAGCAAAACAGCTAAAGTAGTGGGTGTTACAATCCACCACTACAGACACAGCGACACAGACACAGCGTTGATTAAGCTCAGGGCAAGACAAAGGACACGGAAGACACACCATCTGTTCAGGCACATAACACAGCTCTCCTCCGAAAGTGGGGAGGACAGCCATCGCTATATAGCATTCACAATAATCCACTGATCTCTTTATGTCCTTCAGAAAATTTACTTATGTCAAATGGAAATACCCTAGTTAAAAAAAAACGCTATAAAAAAAAGGTTCATAACAAACAAATGAGGTTCTTCAAGAAAATTAAAAGCTTGGGCACATTTACAGATAGAGTTGCTATCTTACAAAATAGATTTTAATCATTCAGGAAATGTTACTTTGCCGCTTAATCATTTCTAAATTACTTAGAATTTTATAGTTTTTCTCATGTAGATGGTATATGTTTCTAGCCGAGTTGATTCCTTGTTACTATGGGAAATGAGATTTATCCATTATTATCTTCTAACAAATTTGTCTTGGCATATATTAAAGTTATTTCTCTTTAATAATTTGATAACCAGGCACTCTTTTAAAAACTCTCTTATTAGACGGGAACTTACAGCTGACTGCCTCAGAGATTTCCATTTAACAATTGTATCATCTGTAAGCTATTTCTTTGTGCCTCCTCCTTTTCTGTGTCCTCCTTATTTCAATTCTCTTCCCCTCTGGTTTCCTTAGAATTTCCTTAGGGCAATCATTTTTTTTTTAAACAAAGTTCTTTCTCAATTACTTTCATGAAAAATTTTAAAGTCCTCTTGAGCTAGTATTGGTTATTACAAATTTTTATAGAATTTCTCCATTTCGCCAAAATGTATTAATTTGGTACACTGTATTATCAAACATCTTTTAAAATTTCTTCTTTATCTGTAGTTAGATTCCCTCTCTCATTCCTATTTGTGTTCCTCTTTCAATATCCTCATTATCTGTGTTGGAGATTTGTTTATTATTATGTTTGCCCATTATCTCTGGTTTTACTCTCCCTTCCCATTTCACAAATTTATTTTTTGTTTCCTTCCTCTGCCTTCTTTCTATGTGTTTATTTGGAAAAGGCAGCATAGAGAGTGGAAAAGAAAGAAATGCTGCTTTTCTAATTTCTTAAGTCGAATGCTTAGTTAAAATAATTTCATTAGTTCTTGATTAATAATAAACTTGATTTAATATTTAAAACTATAGATTTTTCTGAGTCTACACCAACCACGTACCTTAAGTTTTTATGTTATATTGATACAACCATTAATTTTCTAAAATACTGTACTTAAATTATAACATTTGATTTCTTCTTTGTCATTTAGAAGAATGCTTTTCAGTTTCCAAGTGAGTTTTTTCCTTCTAATTTATCCTTTTATTACATATTTCCAGTTTTAATGCATTGTGATCCATGAAAGTGGCTGTACTTCTTAGAAATGATTGAGTTTGTGTTTTTTGTGTGTATGTCATCAATATTTGTTAATATCTGATGGACTTTTGATAAGAATTTTTATTTTTAAATTATGAAATATTGAAGTCAACCTATATATGCCAATTAAATCCATTTCATTCTTTATATTAATCAATTCTAATGTTTCCTTATTTTTTCTTTCTACTTTAACACTGTGAGAAGTACACAAAAGGACCACTATGATTACCATTTTGTCTATTTCTCCTTTTATTTTCAACAGCTTTGGTTTTTATGTCAATGATGTTATTCAGTTTATCAGCATTCATGGCAATTCCACTTTCCTCTGTTGCGTTTAATCAATGCAAGGTAACCCTTTACATTATGTTTTTACCTTAAATTATACTTTGTTTGATATAAATACTGTCATCCCTATTCAATTTTTGCTCATTTTGTGTAAAATATGTCCTTACAAATGGCATATATTTCATATCTTCCAGAAATTCCTCAAAGTTTCTGGTCCAATGAAGGTATGCTTCTCTGTTTTTCAGTGCTACTATGAAGTTTTCCTTATTTTTCTTTTTTTCAATCTATTCTTGAAGCTATGATCCTTACACTTATTTTTATCATATACATACATACATCTTCACTTTTATAATTGGAGCTATAAGTTCTTTTTTTTTTTTTTGAGACAGAGTCTCATTCTGTTGCCCTGGCTAGAGTGCCATGGCGTCAGCCTCGCTCACAGCAGCCTCCAACTCCTGGGCTCAAACGATCTTCCTGCCTCAGCCTCCCGAGTAGCTGGGACTACAGGCACACGCCACTGTGCCTGGCTAATTTTTTCTATATTCAGTTGTTTGGCTAATTTCTATTTATAGTAGAGACGGGGTCTCGCTCTTGCTCAGGCTGGTCTTGAACTCCTGAGCTCAAGCAATCCTCCCGCCTCGGCCTCCCAGAGTACTAGGATTACAGGCGTGAGCCACCGCACCCGGTCTATAAATTCTTAATTTTATTTTTTTCTCACTTTCTTCCAATTATTACTCCCCCTACAGTCTCATTTCCTGCAGCTTATTATAACTAAGTATAATTAATTTACAATTCCCTAACTGGGGAAAAAACTGGATACTTTAAGGAATGTAAGTAATTCGTACCATGGAAGACAATGTACAATTTAATTGTAAACAAATGAGCAGCTAATGCTTTGCCAAGTGATAAAATCTAATATCAAAAATAAAATGAAGTAGAAGTTAAATTTAAACATATAGCATTAAAATGTTTATTTATGCCTTGGAATTATATTGCAACATGTAGATGAGCAGATTATCTAAGTAGTCACCCATGTAAGGGTCTACACCTGACTAATTTACTAAACAAGCCAAAATAAATTAACGCAGTAAAATAAGATGATATGGAGTGATAATCGATGATGCAGAAATTTATAGAGGATTACTCAGAAAAATCCTGTAGGCATGCAGGTCTCCCAAAGTTCACTGATACAAAGTAAACAAGACAAAGTGTCTTTTGCAGCATCAGAATGATGCTGGTGTTTGGACAGTTCAAATAGGCTAACAGAACAAGCCTGAATGCAAAAGACACTTTAAAAAGTCATTGTGAAAAAACAAAGCAGAACCTTCTGACAGTGTAGATGAGAGAGGATTAGCTGCCCCAAACTGGTTAACGAATACATATTTTTCCTCTCAATACTTCTCTGTCAAACAATATGTGGTATAGCTCTATAATTTTTATTACACTTTTTTACTAACAAGGAGATGTAAATGTAAGCTATTTAAAGTGGAGATATTCTAAACATGTTCTTTTTTCGGCGGAGGGGCAGGGGTATGGGAAGAGGATTAATTTCTTCCAAATCTGCCCTGAAATTGGTACGGAGAAATAGGCATCAAAATTTCTGGCAAATACAATATGGGGAAAAAGCATATTTAGCCTAATAAATAGGGAAAATAATTGGTTAAATTAAATGACTATGGAAATATATTTCCTCAACAGTGTTGGAAGCACAGCGGTGGAAACACTCTGTCTTGGCCAGGGCACTAAGAAAGTATCGGACGTGAAACCATACCTCAGGGAATCAGTCTGATGAGACAGCAGGCCCCACGCTGGTCGAGTGCCTGTAATTTCATCTCCTTGTCAGTAATGGAAAACAATGAGGGAAGGAAGATTACAAAAAACACAAGGGCCCGTCCATCTTTCTGCATCTAACTCTATGGGGATGCTCTATTAGAATTACATAACAGTGAAATCTGGTCCGGGACGTGTAAGACAAATTATCTACGACCACGGTATTTTCCATGCTGCATCTGTGGACGTAAGTATAGTCCAGAATTCCAATTCTGAGTTTTGTCACACTTATAAAACATCCAGGAACACTGGATCAACTGAGTATGCCACCCCCACCCCAACCAAACGCACCAGAGGGGAGAAATCAGTTCCTTTTTCTTTTTACTTACAGGGAGTTTTTCCTCTCCAATATGAGCACTTGCTTACTTTTGTGGCTCTGTCATCAAGCAGGGTGACACAAAATGTTTGCCAAGAGAAGTCTAATTATTTTGACTGTTATTTTTTATTTCTTTGCTAACTTGTCTGAAACAGTGACAGAATCATAGAATGTGAATTTTGAACAGACACGAAAGGTTACAGAGTTCAACTCTACAGAGGCGAGTAATCATTTACATGGCCAAAGGTAGAGTGGTGCAAGCATGGCGCCGTGAGTCCTACTCCCAGTCCAGTGCTCTCTGCGCATCGCCCAGGTAGCTCTCGTCCACCACGCGCACAAAGCCATGACAGCGCCTGGTGCATACGGCTTCCAGGCACTCCCCGTTCCCAGTCATTACTCCAGAGAAACACTGCTAAGGACAGGTCAAGACGCGACTGGATGTGGCAAGCCGCCACTCCGTCCTCCTTCTCATGACAACCTACTAGTAAATAATGCATCCCTTCTGTAATTTATTTTCACATTTTCAAAGGTCAAAAGCAATCTTTATACTTATATGTGAAAGCACTAAAAAAAATCAAAACATTTATAATGTGGTTTTCTCCATGATCTCCCTAGGAAATAAAGTTTTGTAACATTTACTTGGTATCATATCGTAACATACTCTTAGCAGTGTATCTTTACTGCTTAGGTTAGAGATCTGATTGGTGATAATCTTTAAAAGGAGCTTACATATTCATTAATCTCTACTTTTTCTCTGAGAACTGCAGAAGAGTGCAGTTGACCAAACATCCCTGCAGAGAGTTGTCACGCCGGCTTCTAAGAGGCCTTAATATGCGACTGGCCAAGGTCAGGATCTGACCCTCAGCCTTGTAGCTTTAGAAACAGATTGGCATGCTGAGGACAGATCCATTTCTCTGGGGTGGGAGTCACAGTAACTAAGGTGACACGACCGATCTGCAAATCCAGAATAGCATTGACGTACAGCAAGAATTAGGTCTGGCCCAGAAACAGGAGCGTGTGCACCTGCGGCCCCGGCCCACTGCCTCAAGTCCGGTTCACTCATTTACGGTGAGAAACCACCGTCAGAGCCACCCGTGTATTTCAGAGGAATGAATAACGCATTCTCTTCCCATGAGCTAAGCTACATTAGACAGGAAAATAACCAGTAAAACGGAAGTCAGACTGGTAGGCCTGGAATCAGAACAAGGGAAGCCGGATTTGTGGAATGCTTAATGGCATCAAGCCTGTGTCTCCATCTGACGATAGGGATGTATACTAGCAAAGGGGCTGGAATCTTTAAGAGATTATTGGCTATAACCTGAGGCATCCATGTGGTGACTTCACCATGTGGTCAGAATACTCAGTGCACACTGATACAACTCTCTGTATCCATGTCTACGTTAGGGACAAAGGTTCCCTTGTCCCTAGACAGAAGGTGGATAGACACTTTCAAAATTTGTCAATATTTTTTTTCTATTTTCATTAATGATACCTCCTACACCCTCTTTGTGATACTCTCCCCTTCAATAAAATTACAGCCAAATCTTGCAATCTGAAAACTATTCAGACTTTTTAAGGTAAATTTATATATCTATGTAGTGCCCCATCAGGGTTTTAATTCTAAAGTTCAGCCTTTAGAAGGGCACTTATACAGCCTTTATTTCCAGGTTCTTGGGAGAATGTTGACAGTTCAGAGCTTTTTCACTATGTTAACCATGGAAGATTGCCATATAAAACCCCACTTAACCTTACTCTTAATATAAACTGCAATACCAAGAAATAAATATGTGAACAAAAGGAGACATTATTCCATTTTTCTGAGAATGCATTCTTCCACCATTCCTGAAGCAGAGGTTTTTCTATGACCCTTATATAAGAGGATGAGTGCCAGAGGACAGGGATTTCTGTTTTGTTCACTTATCAACTGTTCACTGATTTATCAACTGCCAAGAACAGCGTGATGGTCAATAAATATTTATTGAATGAATAAATGTATACAACCTACAATCTAAACCACATATTAAAAAAAATCAAAATTCAGCAAGCAAGACTCTAAAAGGACACACATTATCCTCTTCATGTCTCTAACTCAGTGTCCTACATTTCAATGCATCACTCTAAAACAAAAAAATTCTGCTGAAATAGGATAATAATTATAAAAATATACCACAGTTAATAAGATATTCAACAAATGTCTTTTGGCATTTATCAATTATTTCAAAATTCTTTTCATCTTTTTTCTTTCTGTGTTATCTCTAGATCAAAATTCTTTATCATTATAATTTTTATCTTTTTTCCAGAAATTTTATGCTTTAACACATTGACTGCCACACTAGAAAATAAATTTTTCCCTGGGGCCACATGTTTTATTATGAAAATAGAATTAAACCTTCAAAAACAGAATGATCCTAATATAATGAAAATTTTGTTATTTTTTATTATTTTCTGTGAATTATATGCAAAATAGTTCATGAGGTTCAAGGTAAAGAGACATGTGAGTAACATATGCTTCACGAGGCCCCAGGCTCAACACTAGCATGAGTTAAATACAACTCACGCAGCAGTTAATGTGTTAAACTTACACTTGAAAGAAAGCAGCAGCTGAGAATACATGTTTTAAAAAACAAGTGCAGAGTAAGGGTATTGGAAAGGCTTTACCTATGACTTTATTCTTCTTTCCATTTTTTATAGGTGTACAGAGCAAACTTCTAATGCACTGCTGGTTTACATTTCCTGTGTTTTCATTCTAAACAAAAAACCAAAACAGATAAAATGGTAGAGACTGATTTGTCCATTAGATGCTGTATAAACCATATGGCACATCTGAAAGCACTATATGTTCAATTTTTATTAGCTAGCGAACAATGGAGTGCAGAAAATGTACAAATTATAATGAAGTTGACATAAATACAATGTAAAACAATCAATCTTTACTTTATTAAAACATGATATCCCAGATTTCTTTTTTTCACAAACTTTCCAAGCAGTTTATAGTAGGTAAAATATTTATTCAGTATCTGCCACACTGGTGTGGTAGATGTCCCAAATAATTTAACAGACAGGACAGAATCCAAACACCACTTGGAATGCTACCTGTGACAGACCTGTCCTGCAGTAACACCACCGTTTCTACTGCCCACACTGCTAAAGTTATAAAAAGGTCTCCTAGACACCCAAATAACAAAATTAAGGCAGCTGCCTCAAAGTGCAATTCTTTTGTGAAATGAGAGAAAATACTAGAACTAAAAGTTTTCAATGTCTGAGAAACAGATCTTCATAGCTTTGCTGTCAAGACAAACAGATGCCCATTTTCCCACAGAGCTACTCACTATGGTAGATTACTAATTGTGTAAGTTCGAGCCACACAGAACTTAATTTTTACCAATAAAACAAGAACTCCAGCAATACTATCTAATGAATGCCACTGACATTAAGTAATGGTTAAATTACTTCAAAACTAGCATGATAGTAGATTAATACATGTTTTAAAAAAACTGAAAAAAATACAGAGAAAAATACCCAAGTATGGCTTTCAATACATGTTATCAGCTGTTTTATTTTCCTTCACCTGAGCAGGGAGAGCACAGATCTCTCCTGAGTAGCCAACTCTAGGGTCAGTCCTTAGTTGAAGGGTAACTCTAAGTACAGCCTTCTAGCTTCAAGTCTGAAACTGGGTTACTTACCGTCCAGGGAAACCTTTTGTCCTTACTGATGTCTGGGATATTAAGTGGTTCCATAGTATTTTTGACATACTGAGCATACATGTAATTGATTTTGTTTGCATCACGTTCCCTGTGAGAATAACAGATATGAGTTCTTTCTAACTACAGGCAAACAGTTAAATAAATGGTTAAGGAGAAACATACCAGTCTTAAATTATAAGGCAAAATATATATCTTATTTGGAAAATGCGGCTTTAAATATGTTTGATGATTTACAACTTTGGCAGTTCCTGTAATTTAAATGTTCTGAAAAGACAAAAACCCACAATATTTCAACAGTCTAAAACAAGTTTAAAACATGTTGTAAGTGGTCTTTTTATCAGTGTTAA